ATTGGGATAGTTACATATGTATGATGCAATGTTGGTTTGTGTGGCATGCATATATGATATAAACATGCAGTGATTTTATATGGGAGCAAGCAAGCTTTTTATTTTTAGCCAGCTATAATTAGTTTATCTAAAACTGCAAAAACATTTACGATTTGCAGAGTAACAGTCTTGATTAAACTTTGTGTGTATTTTCTGAGGTAACTTTGCTCTTGAAGTTTCCCTAACTTATTTAAAGGAATAGTACACCCAAAACATGATTAGCCTTCATTTACTACTCATCCCCATGCTGAACAACACTCTGGAGTACTTTTTTGATATCTCAAATGCATCTGGAGATCTGGGAGGCTTCTTGCTGTCTGCTGACATTCAAATAATGGAGGTCTATGGTGCCCGAGGCAGAAAGGTCCATAAAAGTCCACAAAAAACATGTCAATATTCCTCCATACTGCTCGTCCAATGTATTCCAAGTGTCCTGAGTGGGTAGCATCCAGAATTTACTCGAAACGAAGTCATTTAGAATGTTTTTAGAGCATAAACAGTAGTGTATAGGATTTCCTGAAAGCGCGCGCCCGCACGTTCACGACGCTACGGAAGCCGGCAGACCAAACCAGATGAAAGTGTGCATTCAGTGTCTGCTCTGCCGATAATGCAAGCGTAGAAGAAGAAATGTGCTGTTTACCTGTGCAAAGAAAGAAACAACGAAAGAAAAATGTCTGAGGACTTCAGTGTTGAGTTCTTTGCCGAGCTGAATGTGCACTTTCATCCGGTTTGGTCTGCCGCGGTTTCCGTAGCGTCGTGAACGCGCGCTTTCAGGAAATCCTATACACTACTGTTTATGCTCTAAAAACATTCTAAATGACTTCGTTTCGAGTAAATTCTGGATGCTACCCACTCAGGACACTTGGAATACATTGGACGAGCAGTATGGAGGGATATTGACACATTTTTTGTGGACTTTTATGGACCTTTCTGTCTCGGGCGCCATAGACCTCCATTATTTGAATGTCAGCAGACAGCAAGAAGTCTCCCAGATCTCCAGATGCATTTGAGATATCAAAAAAGTACTCCAGAGTGTTGTTCAGCATGGGGGTGAGTAGAAAATGAAGGCTAATCATGTTTTGGGTGTACTATTCCTTTAAGCATTAGTTTATATTGCTATTCATTATTACTCCTCCACTAAATGAAAATAAATGTGTTTCCACTAAAAAGCGACCCCAAATACATTTTAGGTGGACTTTACTCCTAGCATTGTTCCATTTGCAGAAACAAAAACATAATGCAATGCTTGAAAGAAAATGGATTTGAAAAATCTATTTTGTCTTGCAAGCCATCAGTCTCTGCACATGACAGATTGGCAAATACAATATGCAAAATGATGTGTAGCGCTCTTGAATGAGTGAAACAGTAGAAGTCAGAGGGGAGCTATACGAGGAAGAGATTGTATGTCAAAAGATATGCTCCATGGTAATGGAGGAGTGTCTGAGAGCTCATGAAATGATTCACTGGCGAATTCAAGCTCAAGTATTAATCAGATAGCACCCGCTTGGCTTTTTTGAAGAAAAGAGCTGAGAAGAAACTGCCATGGCATATCTGTTCCCCCAGGAGTCCTTAAAGTGGAAACATTTTTGTAAGAAAAGATTAATACGGCCATTGCTTCCACAAGGTTCCAAGGGTGAAAGGCATATAATTGTCTGTTATTCCTTCACAATTTTCCCTTCAGACAGAATGATGAAATCAAATGACAACGTACAGTTTATTGTTGTTGGCATACCTGTGTTCTGTTAAAACACCAACACAGTCATTGCCTGGTTAAAAGTACACCTGTGGGAAGTGAGAAAGAGATGGTCAGATTGGGAGGATTCCACTGATCACCTCTTTCAGTTTGCAAAAAGAAATGACCATATTAGCTTCCCATGTCGATGGATTAGAATGGAAGTTAAAGTGTGCCTGGCCTAGATATAGTAGCTCACTGCAGCAATTTGAAGTAATATTCGTTTAAGAAGAAATGTGTGCATTACATTCATGGCTGCCATGGTTTCTATTGTGATAGACAAGCTCATCTGCCAAGAAGCCTTTTGAATAGGAATGGCTTGTGTAATGCAGTACATTTTCAAGAATTATAGAAAATGTTGCTGCAATTATTAAACATATTAGACACTATAACAGAAATATGAGGACACTGAGGGCCACAACATTTGCATCAGTTTGTGTTAGGCCCTCGTTGTGAAGCACGGCTTTGCTTTGTAAAAGGCTTCAGACTCATGTAACTCCTAATAAACAACTCTGTTTACTTTAAAATGTTTGCTTACTAATAACAAGTGCGAGATATGCACTAATTGTCAAAGAGCTTAAATTAAAAATTTTTTACTTACCTTACTTATGCACTGCAAAAAGTGTCCATCCATCCAAGACTTACAGTCTTCGATTTAGCCAAGAAGTGTTTTTTATCTTGTTTTGAGATTGATATATTATTCAAGAGCAGATTCTGTTAATTATTCTTCTTTTAAGAAGATTCTACTTAAAACAAGTGCAATGATCCAAATGTACAGCAAGACAATCACAATTGCTAAGACTTTGAAGTGTTGTGACATATATTCTCACAACAACAGATATAAAAGAATCTGCTCTTGCTTAGTATATAAACAAGATCAAAATACTTTTTGACTACATCTGAGGTTTTTTGTTGTTCTTTTTCCAGCTTTTATTGAATTTTTTATATGTCATCACACTCTCACAGAGCAATGAAATGAACTCTCTGTATTTAACACATACCCTCTGTATTTAACACTTACCGTTGGGGAGCATACAGTATAGCTGCCATACCTGGAGAGCAGTGTGAGGTTAACTGTCTTTGCTCAGAGACCCAGAGTGGCAGTTTGTGGGACTGGGGTTCGAACTCAGAACCTCAGGATTCCAAGCTCTATGCCCTAACCAATAGGCCCCCACTCCCTTGCCTCTGCATTTAAGCCAACCCCTTGGGAAGCAGTGGCTGGGCATTGTGGGGCACCCGGGGAGCAGTGTGAGGTTAAGGGTCTTTGCTCAAAGACCCAGAGTGTCAGTCCATGGGAATGGGGTCCGAACTCAGGATGGGGTCCGAACTCAAGATGCCCTAACCACTAGGCCACCACTCCCAGGTTGTAAAACTTTGTAAGATGGACACTTTTTGCAGTATATAGTTGGACCTTTTTTAGGGTTAGGGTTAGGGTTAGGGTTTTTTTAAAATCTAGGAACACTAGATCCATTTATGACAAAGACTCAACAAGCTCACGAAACATTTATGAGAGATTTTGTCAATATGTACATGATAGCAACAGAAAGTTGTTGCTATTTGTCTGCCTCATATTGATTCAAATATTGCCGTCCAACACATTTCAAAGCTGCCTTATTTGATTAAGATCTGGTTAGTCTATGGTGTCCATGATGGTCATGTTGAATCCCTCCGATGACAGCATTACTGCTGGATGTTGCCTTCAGAAGATTGGTACATTATGTTTGTAAGGATATGGACATGATTAGATGCATCTCAGAGAGGCTCTCAAATTACTACTCTTAGTAAGTACGAAGGTTTCTAAAGACTTTCAAGACAATATATCCCATACTATCATATCATCAACACCAACCTCAGTTAATGATACATAGCACCATGTAATCACTCTTTTTTGCTGTTAAAAGTTACAGCAATAATAGTCATTGCACAAGGCAACATATGTTATTATCTGACTTTGATAAAGCATTGCAAATCTACCCTTAGGTTTGTGCTCTTAGCTAACAGCACTGTCACGCAATGCACTTTTCTTTAATCTATCAGCTTTTAGGTTTGATGTTTTGTCCCTTCAGCGATGGTAGTCTGTTTACTTCTGTCTCACTGATTAGTTATATAAAAACCTTCTGCCTTTTCACAATCTCCAATCAATGTGACAATTTTCTTTTGAAATCACCATTTTCATCCACATAACTACAGCTCACCTGATAGTTTCTCTTTTTCACATCTTTCACCGAAAACAATGCTATATTAAAAGTCACTTATATTCCCCTGCCTTATTGCTCCTATACTCGGTTTAATCTTTTATCAAGTAGTTCCCTTCACATCTTGATGTCAATATGCACTACCTTCTGCTCACATGTGATCAGCTGATTTGTTTGTGTGTTAAGCAATTCTACAGGTTTATTGAATATAATACTAAGGGATTTCATGATTCTGTGTTACTAAACAACAATCCTTGATACATTAATTGAGTATAAAGTCACCATTAATGTAAGAAGTATAAGATCTATTTCTCTCACACTTTTTCTTATAAACTAAGTGAGGAAAGAGCCCACATGTTGGGTTTTGACAAACTGGATTGAGCATTTCATAGTCTTTCACTATTCCATCAGTCAAATGCCACCAGTGGCTCAGCCTCGAATGAGTTTATATGTTAATCAGATTGAGCTTCCTGACTTCCTGCCGCTGCTGGATCAAACATAGACTTTGGTTCCCCATTTTCTGCTCATTCTCTAGTCACTTCATACATCTTAAAAAGGACGACAAAAATCAAAATCAACGGCTGAATCTGTGTCAAAGGAAGATCTGATTTACGAACTACCATAGAAGTGCTGTTGAAATTATAGGGTGGTCCCAGTGGTTGATATGTTTATCATCAAAGTGAAGAGTGAGTCATTTAGCAAACCAGACCAAGCATCTCATGTAACCGAAAAACCTTAGTTTTGAATCATCTACAGCTTTGGGGTTCATCTGTTTTATTTATCCTCTTTACTTTTTAATTCATGCAAATCTCAAAGCGTTTAGGGTGGTAAAACATGTTTGTGAGCATGTAAAAGTTGCATCTTGCCACAGAGACTTTAGTACTTATTGCATGGGGAGGATTTGTCTCCATTCCCTGTCCTTTTTGTCCTTGCATGCGTTTTTCTTTTTTGTTTTACGTCTCCATTCTGTTAATAATACATGAATGTCCTCTTTCCCTTCCCCTCCCTCTTCCCCCCCCTCTCCTCCCCTGTAGCAATAATTGAGCCCTCCACCACTAGTGCTGTCTCAAGCCCAGGTCAGTATATGTCACTATGCTGAACACCAGATTAGCAAAGAGGTTCGCTGCCTCGCACTAACCCTAGTCAAATCCCTCCCCTACATCTTGGTTGATTTCAATCAACTGACTGGAATGCCTGCTGGGTGTACAGCTTTATTGTATGTCCTCTGTTTATTTTATTTGCATTATTTTGTTGATGTCGTTTTGGCCATTAGAGTCAGCTACATTTACTCCAGGCAGCCTGCATCATTGCGGCTTTATGCCCCCAACCCTCCATTATAGCCCCCAATCACCACTACCCTTTTGTGGAGCAAGTAGCAGCATCATCAAGTGGCTGTTCCCATATTTGTTTTGGGTCTTCGCTGCTTTTCATATTGCTGATGGCTTCGTGTTCTTCTCTTTCTGGCCTTTTCCCACCAATCCCTGCAGTACACATCACAGGCAGGACACTGTCGGTGGTGAGGGACCTTGGTTGTAAGATTGAATCTCTTGCTGTCCTTGTCCTTTTATCACTCTCTTTTAGTCCAGTTCTCTTTATCTCACACTTCTTTTCCTTCTCTCTGTACTTTTTCCTTTCTGTTCTTTCCTTGTTTCTAGAACGATCAATTGGTGCTTTGCCGCTGTCTTTAACCTGATCTCCTGCTTGTGCTGCCATCGTTGCTACACTTTCAATGTCACCCTTTTTTTCTGCTCCTCACTCTAGTCTGCTACTACCACATTCCAGCTAAGATTAATCCCCTCTGCCTGGTGGTCTTTTCTCTCTTTGTAATGGTTTTAAGAAAGTCTCAGGATGCGATCTTTTATTCTTTAAATTATTTTTCCTCAGTACGTTTCACATGTGCAAAAACACCAAAAGTGTCTTTGTAGCACACTGAAGTTAAAACAGCATTCAATAATTCCTACACATGCATATGCAATAATTATTATTCCATGGTTATTTCATATATTGTTTTTTCTTTTTTGTTTTGCATTCACTATAGGGGATTGGTGCACATTTCTACTTGCATTTCTTAACCAGTTACAATGATCCATGGAAATTTAGTAAAAGAACTCCAAACAAACTGAACAACAAAAAAGCTGTCCGGCGTGGCCTCTAACTTTCATTTGATAGAATGTTTGCAGAAGAAAGTACAATTTCATGGTCCAAAGGAACATCAGAGGATTTTAGTGATTAAGATAAACTCAGTCAGTGAGCCACTGTTCCCCTTTCCCTCAAGTTATCCGAAGTTTATTTATTTGTTTGTTTTGGTGGTTCTCTAACCAACTAGTTTGATTCAGGGCATATTCTTTTAGACCCATGACACCATGTCAATATTCTTGTATAAAAGCAGTCCTATAACTTTGTTTCAACTTTGTTTTTAGTCAGAAAGCTAAGATGTTGGCACAACTTCTGGTAAGTTCTGTAATATGTTGTAATTTACAGTATTTGCTGTGATGACCTTTAGCTATAGAATAGTGAGTGGTTTAGCACTAATACACCTTGTTTCTATGCTTGTGGCTCATATTCTCTGAAGTAATAAAAGCAGAAGCTTTTGATCTGTCTTTTTGTGTTGTTAGAATAACAACAGAATAAAGACTTCAATTTGTGCCGGTTTATGATATTTGATTACATAACCATTTAAATTTGTTTGTTTAAATGCAATTTGTGTTTCTAATAACATATCTAGTTTCAAAATATTTCTATGTAATGAATCCCAATAATGTTGCTAATAACACAGATATTTGCTCCAAATTAGCAACAGCTTGTCGACAAAAGAAAGATTAATTTATTCTTGAACTAAATGGCTCTATATGGATTGATAACAGCTAATTTATATGTTCAATTTGGGTTTCATTCATCATTTTATATTTGAAAAAAAAAAAGTTCTTATTTTGGAATTAGGACTAATTTGGATTAAGGCAAGCATTAAAAACAACATTACAGTGATTGATCAGACTTGAAAGGAATATTTCACCACTGTTTACAGACTACAAACTTTGCCTCATTCATTATATTTTTCATTTTTACGCTGTACATAATACTTGCTATCAGCCTTGTTTTAATTGACATTAGCAATGTTAACATGGACACAAACAGTTGGGTAAAAAAGGGCCAATCAGAATTATAATGCATCTTGTAAATGCCCCATTCAGAACATTCGGTCAACTTCATAGGAATTAAATTGTAATCCATAGGAGAGGGATTTTATATAATGATTGACAATCTGAACAGCATACATGTGAACCCCTCTGCAGATTATATAATTCTGATTGAGGCAATGGTGATTTAACACCGTACACGTCAGAGAGCTTCTATTCTGATCATGCTTGGCACATTAATATATTCTGTTTTATTTAAATCTTGAACATTCCTTGAAAAAACTGCACATTCAGATCAAATAATACATTATGTGTGACTTAGTAGGATCAATCTAAAATGCACTTGTAATAACTGTCCATGAAAAACAGAAACTCACTTATGAGCCTTGGCAATTGTAAATAAATGATATTTGTGTCCCATTATTGCTATGTTTACTATTTGTCACTATTTAACAGACATGTCATAACACAGTTAGTGTTTACACTTAATGTTCTATGAGTTTAGAAAAATTAATCTCTTATGTACTTTGTTTCTTTTTGTAATATGGAACTTACTCAGAACTAAAGTACTAACCTAAGGCATAAATTCCCTCCTGCATCTTTCACAACAAATTAAGGCTTATGTGTGCAAGACTGAAAATATCATCTTTGACGCCTGTGAAGCAGTAAGAACCCAGTCAAATCCTCTGTTATCATTTTTGGAAAGAATGGTCAAATACTAAAACAGGCACTGGTCAAAAGACAGCGACCTCTTAAGACTTGGACATAAGCCTCAGACGTCTTAGATGCCTCTGAGAGCAGCACTCCGGTCAAACCGAAATCAAACAGTCTGGAGCAAAGAACAGAGGAGGAAGATGATCAGTGTTTTATTAATTCCTCCTCCTCGCTCTGTGATGAACTGTGGCAGATGGACATCAAATTCAGCCACCGATTTATTTCACTAAAGAGCAAAACAGAGCAGTGTAGCTATTTATTTGTGCCCACTGCCTTCAGACGCCTCAGCAGACAACAAGCCCACAGCCAGCTGTGCCCCTTCACCTCCGCTGACTCCCACTCAGCCAGAGCTGTCACACTCTTTGCTCTATTCTCCTGAGCTCCACATTCAGATTCCAGACTCAATGTTTGGTTACCCCCAGCCATAAAGAATGGCATCACAAAATGGGGATCACTGGTATTAAGAGTTTTTAAAAACCATGCTTTAGTCTCCTCTTTAAAGATAGTTGCAGTTATGCTAAAGATTGAATGTGGAATAAGTGTATATGGGCTTATCACCATATATGACAGTATGGTGACAAAGAGAGGTGATTTCACTCTCAGAGGGAAGAACAGCAGATAAAGGCCTTTTGAAAAAGGTCAGTGTTTATTTGCATTGTATAGCGATGGGTCTAAAATGGGTAGACATTAAGTAGACATGAATGCAAAAACAACTGACAACCAAATCTTAGAAATGTATCAATTCTTACATAAATAAAAAAAATGCCTGGTGCTGATAACAGTTAAGGCATTTATAGGTACATGAAGGCAAATGTTCAGCCAGTCCTTAATAAAGCTCCAGAACTCTAAGGGGTGATTGCATTGCATGGAAGGTGGAGACTGTGGCCTGGACCCGCAAAGCCGGAACCAACCAGAAATGCATCCATATAGATGCCAGCCTATCGCAACAGAGTTTACCCTGTCACCTCAAAGAGATTTGATAGAGAAGGGCAGTGATAAATGCTCCTCACATCATCTTAACGCTGACTGACAGCTGGCTGCTTTTGATCAACATGTATTCTTTATTTTCACAGGGCTATAATGATAATTTACTGCATGGTTCATATATTTTTATCACTTAAAAATACAGTCCTTCAAGGGTTATTTTCTGGAATAAGGTACCTCCGTTTTATTCTAGTGAAATTACCTGCTCGACCTTCAATGCTTTTCCCTGAACGGTTTGCATAGGGATAGTATGTAAATCCGCCGCCTCACTACGGACAGATTTATGTGACCAGCCTTTGTTCTTGAGTAACATCTGTGGTTAACTCACATTAGATAAAAAGTAAAGTTTTGTCTGCACCATATCACAGGAAAGTGACTTTACTGGTCTGCCTGCTAAACAATACTATTGTTTCCAACATGATTCTTGAAGCTGTCATGAGTTGATTGTCAGAAATAACAACAACAAGAACTGACAGTAGGTGATATTGACTCATTCATGTTCAGACAAAAACAACCACAGCAAAGCAGTCCCCGATTCTCTTTGTAAAGACAATATAAAAGTTAGGGTTACAGTTGATGTTATGGTTTTATTATGATACTCCAAATACTCCCATTCTGTCCTAGTATTGGAATGATACTGCAGCCACCATTAAGCCTATAAGCCATTAAAAGCTAAACTTAAAAATATACAAGATGTGGTGCTGGTAGTCAGGATTTTTCACCTGTGTAAATTACTTGGCTGTCTTCTCTAAGCAAACTAGTTCTTGGTTTTACAGAGGAAAAATTGAAGTAACATGCTGTATGAATACACAAGATAAACTGAATAGGATGAACCAAACTTCAAGATTAAAAAGATTTCAGCATTGAAAATATTTAACCTAGATAAAACTGACAAGTTTGCTTTAGATAATTGATTTTTTTAGCAATTTGAGGTGACCCTAGTTTCTGCCCTGCGAAACTTGATATTAAATCACAAAAACAGAGAAAGCGGTGTGCTATAACCTGTGGTGCATATCTCAATATCTCATCCAAATTTTTGACTCTTGGAATATTATATCAAGCATTTAGTGTGACATTATTAATTTGTAATATATTTTACTGCCTTAATAAATATAAATATTAGGGCAATCTTTTATGTTTTAGATATTTAAAAAACCTATTCCATAACAACAAGCTTGTACAAAAAAGACGTTTCAAGAAAAGTTCCTCAGGTAACATTAAGCTCCATTTAAACATTTTAC